GGGGGGGGGGGGGGAGCATAACGGGGAGTGAAAAGAGGCGCTGGGGATGAGTTTTGTCTGGCGTTTGGTGGCTTGTCGACAGCAGGTACCCTGACGAAATAAAAAGAAAAACCTGACGGCCCTTTGTCCACTGGGTACTGGTATATTTCGCAATACCACGGGTACCATTCACGTGTCTGCACTCGGCCGATACAACACCATTGTCCTCCATCTCTCGTGAATTCTCTTTCTTCAGCAATCTTTTCCGCTTTTTTCTTGTTCGTGTGCATCTGTTCTGAAGCGCGAGTGAAGAGAATTAGAGGAATAGAGAGTGGAATTACGTTAAAGAGAGACTTGGACGTTTGCATGTCCGACATGAAAAGGGAAAAGATTGACTTTTCCATGCAAATTATAGTCATCCTTTGTGCACTCTTTTCCAAAGGATTCTCCTTTTTTTTCGTTCTCTCACATGTTCACCGTGCAGATGACCATTAAGAGACAATTAATCTTTCAAGCAGAAATTGTTATAAAGTCATAACTCATCCATAGCATTTTTTTTGCCTGCATCATAGATAAACTTGTAATGAAATTATGTACAATACATGCTAGACCAAGTGAATTTAATTTCTCCGGACACCCCTCAACCGCACGTTGAATCACCAAGGTCAACATCCTTTGCATTAAACTTACACCCACATAGTCATTCAGTAACAAACATTCCTTTCACGTGAAAGACGCCCCGCCTCTCTCTCTCTCTCTCTCTCTCTCTCTCTCTCTGGTAATCTCATCCAAAGCTAACCACCATAGAGTCTAGTCTTATTGTTTGAAAGCTCAGGGTGGCATGCAAATTGCATCCACCAGAGTAGACCTCCGGGACGCATCAAACGATGAGAATCGCAGTTGTTTCCAAGATTCCTGGACGCGATAGTTTTCATTAAAAAATTTGAGAATTTAACAGATTGTCCAAAGTTTTACTTATTATATTGATTCATTGGTCTACCTTGCAGGAAAACGACACTGTGAGGTTTCTGGTAAGCCTCGAGGATCAAGTGACGGAGGGTCAACAGCCCAATATCGTTGGAGTGGATGCCTATGTCATTGTGCTGGATGTCAATGACAATCCACCAAAATTCTCTGGTACTCCGTATGAAGCGATGGCTGATGAAGACACTCCAATCGGCACGACAATACTCCCTGGTATACGTGTCACTGATCCAGATCTCATTGGTGATAATATTAATTTGTCGTGTGTATCACAGCCTCAGGTGAATATACTTTCTCATTGAATCGAGCCATTGTTCACTACCACCGTGGATTCTTCTTCACTCATTAAATAATCTTATTAAATATATTATTTTGCACATAAATTTTAAATCATCTTGTGAGAGAAACTTTTGAAGCGCCCCTGTTTCACTGAATATTGACCGTTGATAAACAAACACTTTCATTCAGCAATTAAAACTTTGGGGCTCCCTAGAAAGTTATTTTAATTTTATAATTCCCATCAATTAATGACATTCCAGTGCTTATCCTTGCAATTTAGCAGGACAAAGCGCCTGCCTGGCTGCAACGCCCAGATAACCAACTTCACCCTCTCCTCTCCTCTCGCCCATAATAGTTAGTGTTAGGGAAGGTGTTAATTAATATCGGAAACTCATTACTCGCTCTATACCCATCCAACAGTTTCCCGATGCCTGCGCCAAGTTTGGCATTGTCAACGTAGAGAAGAGTCAGAATACGTACGTGGGTGCACTGGTGCTACGTGAGCCACTTGACTATAAGCAGAGACCCTTTTACCAATTGCTGCTGCGAGCAAGTGTGAGTTGCTCAACTAATCGAAAAATTGATTTCAATTAAGACGTAATGGGTGTAACTTTTTGTATATTAATATCTATGACTTTGCAGGATGGTACAAACAATGAGACCACTGGAGTGGAAATTAAAGTGGCTGATATACAGAATAGTCCTCCAGAGTTTTTAGATTCCCTAACTGGAATTGTTAAGGAGAATGATCCAATTGGTACATTGGTCATGACTGTTAAGGCTAGGGATGGAGATAGGGGTATGCCTAGGCAAATAGTGTACGAGCTGGAGAGCAATCTCTTTGATTATTTTCTACTGGATCCAGAGTCTGGTGAACTCAGAACGGCCAAGCCCTTGGATCGAGAAGCCTTGGAAGATTCAACGGGGGTATTGACGTTGAAGATAAAAGCACGAGAAATGGTGAATGGTATCCCTGGTAACGATGACTCGACAGTTTCAACAGCAAATGCAACGGTAACGATAAAAGACGTGAATGACGAGCCGCCGACGTTCAATAAACGAGAGTACAATATAGAGATAGCTGAGAACGTGCCCGATGGCACGCTTCTGCCTCATCTAGACATGACCGTCAAAGATCCAGACGTTGGATTCAACTCTGAATTCTCTCTCCGCCTTGAGGATATAACCGGCGCCTTCACTGTTGAGCCAGCAAATGCTACTGGCAGTACATCTGTCAACATTCGTGTGGTGAATGGCTCCCTCGACTACGAGAATCCAAATCAACAAAAGTTTATAATTCTGGTAATTGCAGAGGAGTTGCACACAGAGGCGAAATTATCATCAACCGCAACAGTGACAGTGACAATAACCGATGCAAATGATAATGCACCCTCCTTCAGTTCTCCGACATATACAGCTGTGGTTTCAGAGACTTCACCTCCAGGTAGCCCAGTGGCAACAATCAAAGCCAAAGATCGAGACAGCGGTAGATTTGGTACAGCCGGGATAGTTTATCAATTGCTTGGTCAAGGAGCTGAACACTTTGCCATTGACAAGCGCAATGGGAGTATAACCGTGGCACCCTGTCCCTCTCCAGGTACCTCTCCATGCCTAGACTTTGAGGAGCAAAATGAGTATTTCTTGAACTACAAAGCGATCGATGACGATGGCAATGGACAAACAACAACAGTTTCTCTGAGAGTTTCACTGGCAGATGCCAATGACAGTCCTCCAAAATTTCTCCAAGATAAGTACCGGGCTGTTGTCGATGAGGGGGCTGACAAGTTTGAGCCAGAGCTCAAAGTACTGGCGCGAGACCGTGACAAAACATCAAAGATAATTTACTCAATAATTGATGGTAACAAGCTGGCGTTTTTCGAAATTCACCCCAATACTGGAGAAATCACTGTCGCTAATAACGGACCGGTCGATCTTACCAACTCGACTCACGACTGGATCTCATTAACAGTTGCTGCAACAGACGGCTTATACACCGATACAGCCATGGTCAATGTCACAGTGCGCGACGTCAACAATAACGATCCCATATTCCCGCATGACGTTTACACAGCTAGTGTTCCAGAAACAGCAACACCTGGCACAGTGGTCGAAGAGATGTATGCTACTGATGCCGACAGCGGTATAAATGCACAATTGAAGTACAGAATTCAGAAAGGGGCATTTGATGACTTTGTGATTAATGAAACAACGGGAATTGTATTGGTTTCGGGTAAGTTGGATTACGATACGAGAAATGCATATCATATAGAAGTTATTGCGCTTGATGGGGGCACTCCGAGCCTCACTGGGACAGCTACTTTGATGATTAAAATTGAAAACACTAACAACAAGCCACCTTACTTCACTCCCAATACTCAAAGAGGAGAGGTCACTGAAGATTCTCCCGTTGGTACAGTTTTTACATTGCTAAAAGCTGTCGACCCTGATAGTACAACTCAGGATGCTCTAAAATTCTCTATAACTGAACCCATAACAGCCATCGATAAGAATGGCCAATTGGTCACAGGCAACACAACTTCCTTCAAAGACTTTTTCGCAATTGACCCCAAGACCGGCCAAGTCTCAGTGGTTCGTCCTCTTGATCGTGAGATAGCGGCGACAGTTAGTCTCAATGTCATAGTCACTGATACATCAGCATCTGTTGTTCAACAGGGTACTGGTACACTTGTCATTACCATAATTGATGTCAATCATTTAGCGCCAGAATTTTTAAAACCTTGGACAAAGGAAAATCCAAAGTATCTGATTGAGATGCAGGAGGAACAGCCAACTGGAGCTATTGTTGGGGCTTTCACCGCCACAGATGTGGACAGCAATATATCGGGATATAGCATTGATCCGCCGAGTCCATATTTCAATATTGATAATGTAACAGGAATCGTTCGAACAAGTCAAATTATTGATTACGAGGAGACTAAGCAGCTCCAATTCACAGTGATAGCTTATGATTCCGGAGTTCCTCAGCTATCATCAACAGCCAAAATCACTGTTAATATTATTAATGTCAATGACCAAGATCCAAAATTTCAGCAAAACTCGTACAGTGTCACTGTGAAAGAGAATTCTCCACCGGGCACTCATGTGACCATTGTTAAAGCCACTGATGGAGATGAAGGTGTCTTCGGTGAAGTTAGTTACAGTCTAATTGGCGAGCATGCCTCGGATTTTAATATTGGCCATGAGACTGGAGAGATTACCGTTGGAGCTGCTACTGTTCTTGATCGAGAAGAGACAGCTGAGATCACTGTAACAGTCATGGCGAGTGATGGTGCTCCAATAAACTCGAGAAGATCAACTACAGTTCCTGTTGTCATTCATCTTGAGGATGTCAATGATAATAAACCCCTTTTTACTCAACACAGCTATCGCGCTTCAGTAGCTGAAAATCTCTCTATCAATCCTCCAGCTACGATACTTCAAGTGCGCGCTGAGGATCACGATGAAGATATAAATGGCAAAGTATCATACACAATAGTGAGTGGAAATGAAGATGGGGCATTTAATTTGAATGGAGAAACAGGATTTTTGTATCCGGCAATCAGTCTAGTTGGTCATTCCGGAAGTTACAGAATCCAAGTTGAGGCGAGAGATGGAGGAGGCAAAGGACCACACTCAGATAGAGCTTATGTAGATATCCGAGTGATTCCTGTTAATCAGCATAAACCTGAATTCATAATGCCACAACTACCAAATGCAACTGTAGAGGTACCAGAAAATTCTGGTGTTCCAAATTACTTAGTGATGACAGTGAGAGCGACTGATGAAGATTCCGGTGACAACGGCAAGATAAATTACTACCTCAAAGTTGGAAATCGAAATGTACCAGAAACTGAGGAATTTATGATCGATCAAGAGACTGGTGAATTACGAGCGAAAATTATTCTCGATAGAGAAGTGAAGAGTAAGTTTGAGTTAGTTCTAGTTGCCACGGATCATGGAAATCCAACCAACTATGAAACTCTACGTCTCCTAACAATTCTACTTGTTGATACTAATGATAATGTTCCTGAGTTTTATGAAGAATACAACTTCCGTATACCAGAGAATCGCCCCAAGGATTACATTGTCGGTAAAGTTGTTGCCGAGGACAAAGACAAGGGTACACATGCTAGGGTTTATTACTATATTGCTGGGGGTAATGACGATGGATCATTTTACATTGACAAATCGGATGGAATGATTTATGCAAACAAAACATTCGATAGAGAAACACGAGACAATTATGTACTATCTATTCTAGCGGCTAACGATCCAGATCTTTATATTGCTCAATCAGAAGCTGGCAAATCATTGCTTTACAATCCTCCTGAGCATGGACACGTTAATGTAACAATAAGCATTCTAGATGAAAATGACAGTCCACCCGTTTTCGAAAGGAGCGATTACTACACAGGAATCAATTCAGTGGCTAATGTCAATGACATTGTTGCAAAAGTTACGGCTTACGATCAAGACCTTGGCGAGAATGGCACTTTATATTATTACGTCGCATCGGCAAATCTCTATAAATACGGATCGGATAAGCCGAGTGGATCGATAGTACCGAGTCCCTTCAATGTCTCTCAAGATGGAAAACTTCGAACAAGTGGTTATATGGCTGAATACAATCAGGACAGATTCATTGTTGAGATTGTGGCCAAAGAGACAGCTTCGCCTGAAAGATTTGCCATGGCAAGAGTACACGTATGGGTTTTCGAGTCCTCTCAATTGATAAGAGTTATTCTCTCCCGTCCAGCCGATGAGGTGCACAGGCAGAGGGATGAAATTGTAGCGGAATTATCAAACGCAACTCAGAGTAGAGTTGTTGTCGATGAGATAAGATATCATGTAGACTCGGCTGGAAAAATCAGGACAGAGTGGTGTGATATGTATTTACATGTTGTCGATCCCAAAAATCAAAACATCACACCAGTTCCTCAGGTGCTCAGGGCGATCGATGCTAAATATGATGTACTCAAAGATTATTACATAGGTTTTGCTATTGAAAATGTTGTGCCTGCCTTTGCCGGTCGGCAGGCGGCTCCATTCGACCCTGCTCTCGCCGCTCTAATCGCTCTTCTCGTTGTCTTATTAGTTGGGGCTGTTACTGTTACCGTTGTATGCTGCTGTCTCAGGCACTGGGTTATTACTGTTCCCAGTGACATTAGAAAGAAAGATGGTCTCATCAAGAAACAGATAATTGACGAGTTGAATACCACGGAAAATCCTCTCTGGATTGAGCAAAAATTAAAGCTTTACGAGGAACAAGAATTGACTATGCAAGTCTTTAGTGAACCCGAAGGAGGGCTCATGACCGAGAGACGAGGGAGTGGTGTTAGTGTGGGTATGGATACCTCACAGGATAATACTTATGCTACTATTCAACATCCAACACCGGCTAATAGGCATCGCCCGACAACGCCTGATTATACAACACTCCCTGGAAATCATAGTCTTTATGAGTCGGCAATGGGTTTTCAGGGATCAACATTTCAGCCATCAACGACTGTTGTTCCGCAATTGACACTTGACCGTGATGGTCAACCGCAATTTGTCTCGGGACTCGTATAAAAAGCCAAAATAATCATTAAAAATATCACCGCATTTTCTTTGATTTGTTTTTTTTTTTTTTTTTTTTTTTTTTTTTTTTT